TCAAATTGCAATATGGATTCTATGGGCAAAATATTGAATAATGCAGAAAGCATGAAAAGATAGAAGGAACACAGTCACGATACTAAAAAGAAATGGTTGATAATCAACCATTTCAAGAGGTAGGATATGATTAAGAACTGATGGTTTGTTTTGTTAAGTGCTGTTGAGTCGGTTCCGACCCATAGCGACCCTGTACAGGGTTTCCGAGGGTGTAAATCTTTACGGGAGTAGAAAGCCTCATCTTTCTCCCGTGGAGCGGCTGGTAGTTTCGAACTGCTGACCTTAAGGTTCACAGACCAATTTGTAACCACTACGCTAAGAACTGATAGTACTGAAGAAAAAAGTCCAAGGTGCACTGAAGACACTGGCAAAGAACAAGGCTCCGGGAACCGACAGAATACAAATTGAAATCTTTTAACAACCTGATGCAGCACTGGAGGCACTCACTCATTTATGCCAAGAAATTTGGAAGACAACTACTTGGCCAACTGTTAGGAAGAGATCCATTTTTTGTCCCCATTTCAAAGAGAGGTGACCCAATGGAATGCAGAAATCATTAAACAATATCATTAATATCATATGCAAGTAAAATTTTGCTAAAGATAATTCAAAAATGGCTGCAACAGTACATTCACAGAGAACTGGCAGAGGTTCAAACCAGATTCAGAAGAGGGCATGTAACGAGGGCTGTCACTGCTGATGTCAAATGGATCTTGACTGAAAGCAGAGAATACCAGAAAGATGTTTACCTGGGTTTTATTGACTATGCAAAAGCTTTCGATTGTGCGGATCATAAGCTATGGACAACATTATTCCATGAGTATTCCAGAACACTTAACTGTGCTTGTGAGGAACCCGTACAGAGACCAAGAGGCTGGTTGTCAAACAGAACTAGAGGATCCTAAATGGTTTAAAATCAAGAAAGGTGTGTGCCAAGGTTGTATTCTTTTACCATACCAATTCAATCTGTATGCCGAGCAAATAATCTGAGAAGTTAGATTATATGAAGAAGAACGTGGTATCAGGATTGGAGGAAGACTCATTTACAACCAGCAATATGCGGACGATACAACATTGCTTTCTGAAAGCGAAGAAGACTAAAATAACTGATGAAAATCAAAGACTGCAGCCTCCAGTACAGATTGCACCTCAAAATCCTCACAACTAGAGCAACAATAACATCTTGATAAATAGAGAAAAGACTGAACTCAAAGGCTTCATTTTGCTTGGATCCACAATCAACACTCATGGAAGCAGCAGTCAAGAATTCAAGTCATGTGTTATATTCGGCAAATCTGCTACACAGCAATGTTTAAAGTGAGAAAACAAAGCTGTCAGATTGAGGACTAGAGTGTATCTGACACAAGTCCTATTTTCAATCACCTTAGATGCACGTGAAAGTTAGAGAATAAGACCAGATTAGAATTGATGCATTTGAATTATGGTGCTGGAGAAGATTAAAAGAACCATGGACAGCCAGAAGAATAAACAAACCTGTCTTGGAAGAACTATAGTCAGAATGCTCATTAGAAGACACAATGGTGATACTTCATCTCTTAGACTTAGACTTTAGGTGGGTTCAGTCCCTGGAGAACATCATGCTTAGTAAAGTGGAGGGTTAGTGTAAAAGAGGATGACCACAAGGCATTGGGCTGATGCAGTGGCACCAGCAATGGGCTCAAACATAACAATTGTGAGGTTGGCACAGATCGGGGCATGTTTCATTCTGTTGTGCATAGCGTTGCTGGAAGTCAGAACCAACTCTGTAGCAACTGCCAATAACAACCTTAAGCACTTTGCAGAGTTACACCTCAGAGTCACAAAAGACTACAACAGCTCCCAGCACTATATCCCAAACCCAGGAGAGCCCATCCATCCTCCATATGCTTTGTAGGCGAGGGGAGCTACAAGATGAATCTAGAGTACCTTGTAATATCAGAAAACAAGTGGTAAAAACAATACCAACAGTGAAAAGTAGTGACATCTGAATGAAGTTTAATAAATGCTTTACTAAAATGAAGTTCTCCTTTTTGACAAGTATATGGTAAATTGAACAAGGAATCAGGAAGACCAGGGAAGAATTGATGGATTTTAACTATGGTGTTGGTGAAGAATAGTGACTACACCATGGAATGCCTGGAGATGGCACACACCTGTCTCACAGCAGCACAACCACAAAGCTCCTTCAGAAGGTGGATGTTAAGACAGCCTCTCACGCACTTTGGACATGTTATCAGCAGGGACCAGGACATCATGCTTGGTAGAATACCAGTGATACAGAGGAAGAGTGACAAGAAAATGGATGGCGCCATGGCTGCAAGAATGGGTTAAACATAGTGTGGCCTGAAGATGGTGCAGGATGGAGTAGTTGTTGTTTTTCCTGTTATACAGAGTTACTGAGTCAAAAATGACCCAAAGGCACCTAAGAACTACCACCACCATAGTCATGTAAGATGTTGGATGAAGGTATATAAAAGTTTCTGTAACGATCTACAACTTTTCTGTCAACCTAAAATTATTCCAAAATAATTTTAGCATGTAAAAACGAGACAGGCATTTCCAGAAGGTTCTAAAAGGCCTCACCTCAAGTTTCACTGGCCCAGATCACACATCCACAACCAATCACTGGCCAAGGAAACAAATAACTAAGATTGGTTTAGATTCAGTGAAGTGCCAATACTTGACAGGTTTCCTCTCCCGACTCATGAGCTACATGCTATATCCAAGAAATCAGGAATTGTCAGCAAGGAAAAATATGTGTGGGGGGAGACTGTTGGTTCCAGAATGGGGCCCCCATTTTTAGCAGGGCGGGTGGAGGGATATGAGCCAGGCTGGCCAATACTTACTCCATTATTCTCTTGGGCACAGGCTCCAAGATGGGCACGTGGCCCAAGGCAAGTCAGTGAGACTCTGTCCTGGATGTTGCTTAGGTGAGAGGCACCCATGGTCCCCCGAGGCATCAGAGCTGAGAGGGCTGTGCCTGAAATATGCTGGGCCACCTCATGGTCAACCAGTAAGCCCCCTTACGTCTTGGCCAAGTTGAGTTTCGGTCAGTCTTCAAGAGTGTATCACCTGTGTTCTGGCTTCTGACCCAGCTTAAGTCCCACCGGTTGGGCTATCAAGTTTTCCTCCCAAGAACCACACTGGCAGGAATTTCCTGGGTCTGAGTCCCACCCCACATTTTACAAATAAAGAAACAGAAGCTGAGCAGGAAGGGACTAGCACACATTCCTGGAGTAAGTTGGTGACAGGCCCAGAGTAGGCAGGACATCTCCCCACTCAGCTTCTGCTTTGCAGGGTGGCCCTAGGTCAGCTCACAGCTGAGCACCGACCGAGAGTGGAACCCATAGCCCCACCTGGCGGACTTGGAGTGGAAGGTCAAGCACCAGCTTCCCTGGCTGAGGGGTGTCTCTAAGAAGGCCACTTACTCAGTAGTACCCAATCTCTTCTTCCAGAGGACCTTGGGGGGAGCTCATCCTCTCCCTTCCTGTGTCTCCCTCCTTTCTAGAGGTGGTGGCAACCTCCTGCAGTTAGCCACTGCAAGCTCAAATCCCGCCTAAGGTGATCACACCTTCCAGCTATGAGAACTTGGAAGAGTTTGCATCACATTTCTGACTTGCTTCCCAAGTTGTAAAATGGGCTGGGGAATACACACATGCTGGGTCTCCAGAAAGGCCGGGAACAAACGGGTACATAAAGACCCAAAGATGTATAAAGTGTTACTGCGCACGGAGAATGTTCAGGAAACCAGTGTGGTCTGGGGGAGAGCTAGCTTAGGTGGGGCACCTCCTCCCGCCCTGGGCCCAGACTAAACACAAGGCCACACTCACTTGAACTTTATTAAGTATGGAAGGACTGGTTACAGCAAGGGTGGAGGTGGTGGGGAAGGGCCAGCCCCCATCCCACCAGCATTGGCACACAATAAATAACTGAGGTGGGCACAGAGAGGGTTGGGGGGAGGTGGCACAGCAAATACTGACAAGGGCACAAGAGTCTTCCCCCCCAAGCTGTGACCACCTTCCACACTGGATGGGGCCCCATGACCAGGGGAAGCCAGGGCTCACAGGTACAGAAGCCCCAAGAACCACTGAGGGGCATGGGGTCACCACCTTTGTAGAGGAGGTACATCTTTGGAACTTGGACCCTATCTATTGGATGGAATCTGGACATCTGGCTGATCCAGTCACACCCAGATTGTATCCCAGGTTTATGGGTTGGTCTACTTAGGACTGAAGAGATCAATGGTCATTATTCCTGGGTGCCCTGATTGGTCCACTCAAGACCTAGAGCAGTAAAGGGCCATTGTCACTTAACCCTCTGACTGGTCCACTCCAGGTCCAGGACATCCAGGTCATGGTCACTTAGGCTCCCAATGTGCTGTGGTAAGATCACGTGACTGAGTCCACCTGCTTCACAGGGTTTCCTCAGCTGTCATCTTTAAGGGACCAGATGACCAGGGCTTTTTTCACACAGAGCTGCTGCTGGCATCAAACTCTAACCTACTGGCTAAGCCAAGTGCTTATCTACTGTGCCAACAGTAGTGCTTATCTACTGGTTCCTAACAGGTTGACTGAGAACCCACCCTAAATGAATGATTCAATATCACTTAGCCTTCAGATTGGTGCACTCAGGACAATAATGCTTTATGGTCACCATAAAGACCAGTGATTGGTCGACAGGACCCAAGGGCCAGGACTGAGAGGCAGGTAGAGGGCCCAAGGGACGAGGAGGAGTTCAAGTCCTCAGGGTTGGGGATATCTTCAGCTGACATCAGGGGAGGTGGCAAGGCCACCAGGCTGGACAGGCCAGGGTGAGCCATTGAGGGGACTGCTGAGAGGAGGGGGTACGAGGGCCCTAAAACCTTCCCTGGCTCCCAGCCTCACCAGGGTTCAGAAACCAGAGCTAAGGAACCGGTGGTGCTTAACCCAGCTCTGGACCCACAGCCTCCATCTATGGGGTCAGAGCCTGGGGGAGGGGTGGGGCTGCGGCAACGGGTGGGTTCAGCCCTCCAACCCTTCCATCAAGTCCGCGATGCTCTCTACATAGTAATGAGGCACCAGCTCATGCTGGCCAGCCGCCAGGTGGGCCTGGGCCTCCTCCAGGCGAGACACTCCGGTGAGGGTAAGCACGGTGGTCAGGCCGCAACGGTGGCCAAAGAGGATGTCGGTCTCCAGGCGGTCGCCCACCATGAGCGTGCGGCTGGGGTCCATGCCAAAGTGCTCTGTGATGCACTCAAACATGTAGGAGTTGGGCTTGCCCACCACCAGGGCCTCACGACCCGAAGCTGTCTCCACCGCAGCGGCCAGGCTCCCGGTGCCTGTGGGGAGAGGGGAGACTCGGTCAGGTCTCTAACATGGGGATATGAAAACCACTGTTACAGAGTCAAATCTGACTTGTGTGTTAAAACAGCAGAACCACTATAGGGTTTTCTTGGCTGTAATCTTTAGGGAAGCAAATCGCCAGGTCTTTCTTCTGCAGTACCACTGAGTGGGTTTGAACTATCAACCTTTTGGGAATGCTAACAGCACTTAGAGTCCTGGTGTGGCGCTTTGGGATAAAGTACTGGACTGCAACGTCGGTTTGAACCTCAAGTGGTTCCTTGGAAACTCTAGTTATGAGTCAGAACCGACTTGACAGATCATAACAACAACAACAACGACACTCATCGCATGTGCGATGAGTCACACATGCAACGAACGCATCTAGACTAGGGCCTGGTTCAGTCAGGCATACCTAAGGCTCACTGTTTGACTCGGGCAGCTATGTGTTTTGGGCAAGTCACTCAACCTCTCCATTTCCTTGGACTCACAACAAAAGGAAGAATCTAAGACATGCCTACCTTGCAGGAGGTGCTGAGGGAATACCAGGAAGATGTGCTTTGGAAATGAAAAAGCACTTTACAAACAGCGGTTGTGATTATTGGTACAAGAATGCAGGCTGCTGGCACGGGAAATTGGCACTGCCCTTTTGAAATGCAGCAGGGCACAGGACTCCTCACACCTCTGACCCAGTGGGCATCCGCACGGAAAGGGAAAGCAAGAAAAGAATTCAACTGGAGGCAAAAAACTAAATACATGTTTGAAGATGTCTGCGGCTGCAGGAACTATAACAAATCACAACTGTGGAAGGCCTCCAAGTGTTTAACAAAAAGAGGACTGTTCCCGCGAAGGGCAGTCCTGAGTCTCAGCGCAGACTCATCCTGCCCCAGACAATGAGTCCACTGTGCCTGCCCCACAGACACGTCTTTGTGCCAGAATGTTCTGCCTTCAGACTAATGTTTCTGGGCAAATGATGATGACGACCATTTACTGAGCACAGTCTAAGGGGCCAAGGGCTTTGCTAGGAGCACATGGAAGCCCATCGTACAGATGAGAAAGTTGAGGCTCACTAAGGTTCAATTAGTAGCAAGCAGTAAGTGCTGCACAGCTCAATGGGTGGCAGAAAAAGCTCTGTACTCAGGGTGTGGTCTGACCTAGTCTGTGCTAGGCCAGCACGTACGAGCTTGGGAGCTGCCGGTCATTTCATTCTAGAGATTTTTGTGTGCCGGTTGTTAAAGTCACTTGTTGTTGTTGTTAAGTGCTATGAGTCAACTGCAACTTATAGCGACCCTATATAGGGTTTCCAAGGAGTGGCTGGTGGGTTTGAACCGCCAACCTTGTGGTTCCAAACCGACCTTGCAGTCCAGTGCATTCTCATGCAGCACCATGCTAGGACTCCTAAAAAGTCACCATCAAGAACCGACTTATAAGAGGGTGATGCAGCTGGCTAGCGGCTGTGCAAAAGTGGCAGAATGCTGTCTACCAGGGAGCTGAGCCTAAGTGGCAAGAGAGCCTTGTCTATCTCGGCATGCATGCGCACGCTCACAGCAGTGTCGTAAAATCGCAAGGACATGGCTCGCTTGCCACTTAGGCTCAGCTCCCTGGTAGACAGATTTTGGCCTGCATAGAAACCCTTTGGGCCCAGGTCTTGGAGGAGAAGGTCCCCTGGAGAACCCTTTCCATGGATGAGAAAATTGAATGGCTTTGCAGAAATGCAGAGGCATGGGCGGGTGAGAGAGCTGCCCTATTCTTTGGCTTCATGGCACTCATCCTGATCTGGGAGAAGTACTCTGTGTATGGCCCACTCCTGAACATTTTCAAGGAGGAGTGGGTGGCCAAGCAGACCAAGAGGACACTGGACAGGAAGGTCGGCCCGATCCAGGAATGAGTGTAAGAACTATAAGATGTGTCTGAACTTTACTTTGTCCTGGTCATATTTACTGGGCATACTCATCATTACACAAAGCAGTGATAATGTCAATTAATGACCAGCTTGTTAAAAAAAAAAAAAAAGGAATCTACTTATATGAACTTATGATTAAATGAGTATTTTGAGCATCAGCACACACTGCTTCCTAATGATCTTGACCACATTTCACTGCTAACAACAACTCCATGTTCTCTCTGTAATAGTGGAAATGCCACATAAATGGTGGTTCAAACCCACCAGCTGCTCCTCAGAAATCCTATACAGGGACGCTATGGGTCAGAACCGACTCGATGACACCTAACAATAACAACTGCACATCTCTTCCCAACTCCATGCTCGGTGACCACACACTGGTAGGTTGAAATCTGCCATAGCAGGAGTATTTACACCACAGGAACTGACAAATGGTTCTCCCAGCTGGCTACTGAACAGGTACCAGCTCTCCACTGCGTTGACCCCAAGCCCCTCTACCTGAGCCTCTTCTCTCCAGGAAACCACACTTCATTTACTCAAGCCAAAGGCCCAGATGGGAAAAGTCAGCACAGATGGTGAGAATCCTCAAGCCTGCGTCCCCGACAAGGCGGGACTTCCCCAGTGTCACGGGGTCAGGGCACAGCTGGGCCAAAACTCAGGCTTCCAAGCCAGCACCCAGCTACCCCTCTGGAAAATTCTCTCTTGACGTCTGACCAAGAATTCTGTCCTCTTAAGAGCTGGGTAGGGAAGAAAAGCAGTTTGCTCCTGGGGTTTCCCTCTAGGACGGGAAGGGCTTGGCTGAGTCACGCTGGTGTTCATGTCTTCTTCTCCCATCAGGACAGATCTGATCACTCTTGGTCGCCTGAGTCCCACTGCTTTCATTTAGTTAATGTTTACAAGGCCCTGCCACACGCCGGGCATTATGCCAGGCATTGGGACAGGGCAGTGAATCTAACAGACAACGTTCCCCACCCTGGGAAGGTCACTCTGTCTCTCCCACCACCATGATTCCATTGATCTCAACACTCCACAATCCAAGGCTGCTGCGTCTTATGCTAGTGACGTATTCTGAGAAGACAGTGGGCATTTCTACTTGCCAACTCAAGTGGCTGCCTAGTAGCAACACAAGATAAAAACAACTCATAACTTAGGAGTTCCGTGTGTAAGACTGGAGGGTGGGGTTTGCATAATTCCAGATAGTATGCATGATGGGGACTCACTGACTTTTTTGACACCACACCTTCAGAGCTGTGTTACTCAGCTGTGCGAAAAGCACATACAACGCTGTATCTGTTAAGCCTCTGTCTCTCCCTTTAGACAGTGGGAGGGACTAGTAGGGTTGGCTGGGCGCAGCCAGGGGGATGCTGAGACTCCCCTGGGTTCACATGGAAGAAGCATGAGGCAGGCCTCAGTCTCTCTCTCCCTCCCTGAGCGTCAGGGGTCGGGGTGGGGACTCTAGCTCACAGCCTCAATCTGAGCTGTGAGGCCTTCAAGGAAAACCACACAATTCAGTGCAATACCCAGGATAGGTAAAAGCTGTGGCGGCTGGGAGCCCTGACCAGAGTCCCATCTTGGATTTATGGACAACCCAGGCCCTGGGTGATGCAAATGGCTAAGCACCTGGCTATTAACTGAAAGGTTAGTGGCTTGAATACAGCCAGAGGTAACTTGGAAGAAAGTCCTGGCAATCTATTGCTGAAAACTCAGCCACTGAAAACCCTACCTAGTGCAGTTCTACTCTGACACACATGGGGGCGCCATGAGTAGGAATCAACTGCACGCCAACTGGTTTGGTTTTGTGGTTTGAGGCTGAAGTTTGCAGCAGAGCTATGCCAGACCTGCAACTATGGGTTTCCCAGCCTGGTATTGATTCTACCATGGTCAAAGCCCCATTCTAGCATCACTGTCTTAACTGTAAGATGCTCCCTCCCGGCAGTCTTCCTAGAAGACTTCAGAACCTGCCCCGGCCCCCCCCCCCCAAATCATCATAACAACACTGTGTCAACTTCCCAGAGAGAGAATCTGGTATTGATGACAGTCTGGGACAGTGGTTGGCAGGAAGTGGGTGATGGAGACCTGCCCCCGACCTACTGACTCTTCCCATGCACACATAACTGACAGCCAGTCCTGCTGCCACCTGCTCTTGTCCACCTCAACCCCCCTGTTAGAGGGGCTCCGATACTCTGCAGGGAGATGGCAGAAATGAATACTTCCTGTCACTGACTCTGTGCGCCCTAGGCTGTGGTCCACTCCCCTTTCTTAACCTCAGTTTCTTTAGCTGAAAAACGGAGATCATAACTCTTGTCTTCAAAGTCACTTGGAAAAAAAAAAATCAAGAGGCAGAATCTAATGTGCTTTATATAAAGCTCTGCAACATACTAGGGCTTCAGATGCAACTTACATCTCAGCACCTACTATGTGCCACACACTGACCTGGAACACTTTCCCCTGGCATGAAACAAGTAGGCTTGGCATTTCCATTTTACATCTAGGATAGCGATGCTCGGACAGGTTATGTAACAAGATTATATGGAGTTGGAACTTGAACTCAGGTTAAATTCTACCTGCTTCCAGAACCGTGTTCCCAACCCTCCAACCTCACTGGCATAGTTGGTGGCGAAAAATGACAGGCTTCCTGAGGCTGGTTCAGGAAGGTCTGGGTTGGGGAGACCTGGTAGCCAGTGACTCCCGTAACCACAGTGGGCCTGTTTCCTTATCAAAGGGAGACCCCACCTGAAGTCACCTCTGGTTCTTGTTGGGTGGGAGGCGTCCCTTGCATCTCTGGTTCCCACCTGTCACCTGGAGATGCTCACTTCCCATCCCTCTTACCCGCCCTGACTCCCCCAGACATGGCAACGCCCCCATCTCAAGTTTCCCCGCTGGCCCAGTGCTCACCGGGGGTTCGGCTGCCGTCACTGAGGGGGTGCCACGGATCGCGGTCGGTGGCCACGAGCAGGCAGTCGGGGTCGCGCAAGTGTGCGCACGCCTCGCTCAGCTTGGCGAAGGTGAAGTGCTCGTCGTAGCCCACGAGCACGGCGCGCACGCGCTGGTCCCCGCCGGGGTCCCCCGTCAGGCGCAGCCCCGCGGCGCGCACTTCGGCGCGCAGCCCTTCGCCGCCCAGCACGAACACAGCACCCGGGGTGTCGAGCCCGGATAGGCGCTGGCTCAGCAGGCGCGCGGCGCAATGCGCGGAGCTGAAGAAGAGATGCTCGTGGGACAGCCCCCTGAAGCCGAAGCGCTCGAAGCGGAGGACCAGCTCGCGCCGCGTGCGCCGGCTGTTGTTGCTCACGAACAGCGCCACCTTGCCGGCCTCCGTTAGCCGCTCCAGTAGCTCCGGGGCGCCTGGCACGGCGCGCTCGCCGTTCCACAGCACCCCATCGCAGTCGAACAAGACCCCCTGCGCCCTGTCGAGCAAGCCGCGCAGGGCCGCACCACGTAGCCGCTCGCAGCGGGCCATGCATCCAGCTGGCCGCCCACACGCATGCGCCGCTCTCCCTTAGAGAGCACTGCTTGCTCACCCTCAGCGGGCCAGACCACCAGCGGCTACCAATAGGAGCGCTGGACGGGCCGGAAGGCGGGGTCACGGCCTGGCCCGCGGCCAATAGGGGCGAGAACCTTAGAGAGGACCCAGGCTGCTAGCTAGCAGAGCGCGGAGAAAAGGACGGAGTCGCTGCGGTCACCGAGGGTGACCAACGAACATCTAGCCTTCTTTTTCTTCCCGCCCCTTAACTCGACTGGGCCAATCGCCACCGAGTGCAAACCGACACTCGATCCCGGATGGCGGTTGAGCAGCTCGACTAACCTTTTATAGAGGTGGGGGCACTTACGTTTTTCTTAACCAATAAGGAGCTATGAATAGAAAATGCTGAGCGTCAAGCCTGCGCCCCCTAGCCAATCAAAAGCGTAGAAGAGCTGGTTGCCGGGGGAAAATAGAAGATTAGGGAGAAGCGTCTCGGGTCAAATCTCGTTACCCTTTGAACCTTAGATTTCGCAGTTCTGAGTGAATGCCTGAGATGCGTGTGGATGTGATAAGGAGAGAGGCGCCTGGTGTCAGCTTGGACGTTTCGAGCCCTAGGTTCCTCACCCTGGCTGTGCAAGGGGCACCCCAGGCAAACTTTTTTATTTTTTAAATTGAGGTATAATTTACATACTGGAAGCCTTTATATCTTAAGTATATAAGCCTGATGGCTTTTTACAAATAAATGCCTTTTTGAAATACTGAGGCTGGAGCAGAGATTGACAACGTATTTTTATGCAAATAACTCGTGCATTATACGGTTTTTGCAAACCCCTCACCCGTTGATTTCTTGGTGAGTTATATGCATGCATGCATTATAGGGGAAACATAAGATCTTGTTTTGGGTGGGCCTGGGGTATATTTGTTTTTCAATTGCTCCGACCAGCGTGACGAAGTCCTGGGTAGGCTGTTGGCTGCGGGGAAGGAGTCAAAAAGTGGCGGCCAATTGATGGGTGGCTTGGGAGGTGGGCTTCTGACTTGGAGGAAACAGCGGGTCTGGGGCCTTTCAGGGCAGTG